AGTCTTACCACAGATACGGTCTGCACACGATGGAAGAGCACAATACTTGTCTTCATCAAAGCCTTTACTTCCCTCAGCGCCGTTTTACTGATATATATACGGTGTAATTCAGGAAGTGCCCTCCTCATAAAAGATTTCCTGTATATGCAAATACATAGGATCACAACTACTCGTGTACATCCTTAGCAAACAGCTCTTGTAACTTGCGGAGGAACGCTGCCTTTCCTCTTATCTAGTCCTGCTATTTGATTTTAGTATTTCCTCCAACTGCTGGTCTCTTTTTCTGCCTGCCTTTTTGTTTTCCCCACCGCCACCTCTGAAAACTCTAGTTCAATAAAATCCCTTTTCTCCGATCCAACCTCAAGGCCAAAAGCATCACTGACATCTTGGATATAGCACTTTTTCTTTTTTTTTTTAATTACATAATTTACACAGTCCATTATTTCTCCTGAGTGGCAACTTCTTTGTTCTAACTTGTAAGCAAACTCAATTCCAGCTACAGTTGCAAGAACTGACCAGAGTATACAAGCAAAAAGTTCCTTTTTTCTATTGATATATCAAATCCCTCTGCAAAAAGTTCCTTTTTTTTTTTTTTTCTATTGATATATCAAATCCCTCTTTAAAACACTCTTTAACAGCCAGAAGAATCTTGATAGCATTTAAAACCCCTTATATTTTTATGGGAAACCAGTTGTCTCCACTTACTAACGGTGTTTTATTGTGTTTTTCAAATTTTATTCTTATGTGAATTTCTATTCTTAACTAGAAGGTGTCACTCACTCACTGCTTAGTTTCATATATACTCAAGGTACTTTTATTTTGCACAGTAGAGCACCCCACAGAGTGGACATTCTCCACGGCCATTATAAATATAAATATTCAATAATGTCAACAATACTTTTGAGTTGTTACTGAGGTCTGTGTGCCCTAAAAAACCGAAAAAATGTGCTGAAATTCTCCAAAGTACATTTAACTGGTAAAAGGGAAGTATCTGGAGGCTAATAAAAAAATAAAACCCTCTAAAGAACAAGGAGTCTCCAAGGAGGAATTAATGCAAACTACTTACTACATAGCAAAGAAACTCTGCCCTACTATCAAGAGGTGTTCTAAAGGAGCAAGGGGATGCTTTACAGTTGTTTTCTGCACCCCTACAAGCAGGCTACAAGGAGTGTGTAAAACCTCTAAGCACCCTCAGGGAATCGAGTCTTGCTTTGAGTCCACCTTGCTTGTGTTACCAAGGAGTATCTGTACTCAAACTATACAGCATACACAGACTACACGTAACTACCGACGCACAGCAGCCGGAGTAGTGTGAAAGTAGAGCAAATTCATCGTGATCCACGCTCACGCACGTGTGATGCCAGGGAAAAAACCCACCTCTTCCCTTGCACATCTGAATTCCTTTGATAAAATGACCCCCGGCAGATACTCCCTTAGTACAGCAAGTCACACCCAGAGTATCAGTTGGTTCGTGCATTCATGTCTCAGCAACGCAAAGCTTTACAAAAGCTTCTAAAAACATTTTCCTCTCCTCTCCTCTGATTTCAGATTTAGCTCTCAGCATGAGAAAGACCAATAAAATCTGTCTGAAATAGGTTATTACGTATTACTTACGATCTATCTATGCTCTCCTGCCACAACATTCATAAAATGAACTCATTTATTACCTCTCTGCTTACTAATTCGTAACAGGAAGATGGGAGAAAGACGTAGCTAATCTTTCCTCTACTTTTTCCTCTGGTTTCTATTTCATTTCTCAGAATCAGTACATGCTCAGGTACCTGCTTTCTCATGTGTACCTATAAATATCCAGATTAAAAACAAACAGCTCACTAGAAAGGCATGAGCCACACGTATTTTATTTACTGACAGCATAAACCGCTGCTACGTTATATAAGCCTCCGAAGAGGTACAAAAGGCTTCTTTCAAAATGTTCTGTCAATATATTTCAACTCAAATTACTACTTACAGCTTTTCCCTTTGTCTCTCAATTTGCTGTTGCTAAATAGGATCAGTCCTACTCCTCTCTGCCCTGCACAAGTTCTGGTGCTTATCAGTGGCTTTCACAAGCTAATTCTATTCAATTGTGCTGAAAAAAAATTAAATATATATTCTATCACTTCTCTGCCTGTTTAGGCCCACTGAAGGATTTTATATGCTCTAAAGCTAAGAACAAAGCCAAGGAAAATGGAAGGGGGATTAGGACTTCCCAGGAAGAGTGACAACCAGCTGCTGGCTCAGTTGAGCTGAGGCACTCTGAACCAGGATTCTCCAAACAAGCACCTTCTCTCCCCAAAAGGCCAAGTTTCCCCAAGATGTGAGAGGGGGACAACTCAAAACCCCCCACTTTTTTAATACAATATATTTGGTAAATCTGCGGTCAGGGAACAAGGAGCCGTTACATCAACTCAAGTCCTGTTAGAAGGAAGAGCACTGGAAGTATTATGTAATGACATTCTTGTTAAACTCTACTGATTAACTTCACACGCAACATCGAGCTCCCCGTTTCTAACGGGCTGTGGAACAAAGCGATGACTAGAATGGGGCAAATAGCCCAGGTTTTTTTGTAAATTTTTTTATGAACAGAGATTCTTCCATGAAAACGTTCACGTTGTTTTAATGAAATGTTCTTTAAAAAGCGGTATCTCTTGTCACATATCATTAGATCCTACCGGAAGCACTAATAGTTAAGTTTTGAAGCAATTAATGAAAAGAACGAAGATGTACAGAAATACAGAATACAACGTTTTTGAGAACGTGCACTAGTTCAAGCTTTCAAAGAAATCCTGAACCAGTGGTCGGGCTGACAAATTAATTTACACAATATTAAAATATTTTTAGCGATCAGTTTCACAGATTATTCTTCTTCTTTCTCTTCCCGACGATCACCGTTCTGCTCTTGTTGGTTATCTTCAACAAGACTTTTTAGATGCGACAAATGGTGTAAAGCCCTAGATGAGGAAAAATAAAGACTTAATATATACACTGTTATTAAAAACAAAATGTTGATTTTCAACAATTTAACAGTTTGAATGGTATTATATATGGCTGACATCTCTACGCCTAACTGGTCCACTTTGGTTTAGAGATTCTAAAAATACACTAAGAGGTTTTTTTGTAAAAAGATAAAATACTTATTGGAACTGAAATTTTAAATACATCTTCTCAAATACAGGTGCTCACGAACCCCGTTTCTATTAAATTATTACAGAATAGGTATTTAACACAGGGTGTTAAACGCTGCAAAACATTAGGTCATAAAATAACACATTGATACTGAAAATTACAGTGGTTTAAATTAAAAAAAATAAAATCTTAATTTTACATTACGGTTTAAAACCGTACTGCAACACTGAGTTGTTGAAAGGAATCTTCTACATAATAAAACCCTATTTTCCATTCTGCCTTTTCTCAAATTTATTATTTCTTTAGTCACTTAACTGTTCAGTAGGATTCTACTTATTTCATTAACGAAATACGTTTTCTAGCAATTATTTTTACCACTGTAATCAAAAAAAAAGGAAGAAAATATTTTGTCCCGTGTTACAAAATTCTCCGAGCCTGATTGTCACAGAGTCATGTAGGTTGGAAAAGACCTTGAAGATCATCTACTATCTTAAATTCCGTTTATGTGTAGCGATAATTAATCTATTGATACAGATGAAACACAAATGTTTATTTACAGAGGACATCTCTGCAGTCATTCACTAGCTGACTCTGCTCTGTGAACCGCCATGATTTTAGTTATTCACTGCTGGCTTATTTTCAAAGTTTTCGATCACATGACAACACTCTCAGCTACTTTATTATTCTTTTTCTGCACTTCCTGAAAACAGTGAAGAGTCAGAAAAAAAAAATTAAAAAAAAATCACTTACTTCCGAATAGAATTAGTAAGAGGGATTCTCTCACTGTCACACAGTTTCAACTCAGCCTCTGCTTTCTCAGAAAGCTGAAAATGAAACAAACACACAAATTTAACTGAAAGAAGCAAAAGTAGCCGAATATTACAGAAAACATGCTATTTTTATAGCACACTGCATTGGAAAGTATTGCCAACAACTTTATAGCATCATAAAGTAATTGAGGTAGGGAGGGACCTCAGGAAGCGGGCTCCTGCTCACAGCAGGGGCAAGTTAGGAGGTTACAGCAGGTTGCTCAGGGCTTTATCCAGTCAAATCTTGAAAACCTCCAAGGACAGAGGCTACACAACCTCCCCTGGATGACTTGTCCCGGTGCTTGGCTTGTCTTAAGGGTTAGAGAGTTTCTCCCAGTGGGAACTTCCCGTTTCAATTTATGCCTCTTCCTCATCCTTCCAGCACGCGCCACTACAAAGCTCCTGGCTCCATCCTCCTGATACCCTCTCACAGGTGCAGGATGTCTAATAAGTCCCCCCAAACTTCCTCCTCTAGAGCCTGAACAAGCCCAGTTCTCTCAGCTCCACCCCGTAAACAAGTGCTGCAGCCCCCTCAGGGTCTAAACCTGGATGTAATATTATACAATTGCAGAATCACAGACTGATTTGGCTTGGAAGGGACATTAAAGAACATCAAGACCAACCCCCCTGCCCGGGCAGGGCCACCTTCCACCAGCCCAGGTTGCCCAAAGCCCCGTCCAACCTGGCCTTGAACCCTGCCAGGGAGGGGGCAGCCACAGCTTCTCTGGGCAGCCTGTGCCAGGGCCTCACCCCCCTCACAGGGAACAATTTCTGCCTTAGGTCTGATCTAAATCTCCCCTCTGACAGTTTAAAGCCGTTCCCCCTTGTCCTATCCCTCCCCGCTTTCAGCCCTGGTGGGCCGCTCTAAGGTCTCCCCGGAGCCTTCTCTTCTCCAGCTGAACCCCCCAACTCTCCCAGCCTGTCCTCACAGGGGGGCTCCAGCCCCCCCAGCATCTCCGTGGTCTCCTCTGGCCCCGCTCCAGCAGGTCCGTGTCCTTCTGCTGTTGGTGCCCCAGAGCTGGACCCAGCCCTGCAGGGGGGTCTCCCAGAGCGGAGCAGAGGGGGAGAATCCCCCCCTGGCCCTGTGCCCCCCCTGCTC